CCCCCCCCCGCCCCCCGCCCCTTTACCTGACCTGGGTCCCGGGGACCGTGCAGCAAGGGCATTGAGGGCAGGGGTCGGGAGGTCGCTTCAGGCCTGTGGAGGCTGCCCTGGACGCCCCTGCCCAGGCTCCAGAGAGGGAGACACCTGTGTCTACGCCCCCTAGTTGCCCAAACTAGCTCTGTGTCACGTGATCAGGACGAGGTCTTATAAAAAGGTTGGCGACTGACTTCGAGGCTTGTCCTAGAACCAACCCCCCACCCCCGGCCCTGCACTGCAGAACCTGGCGTTTCCAGCAGGGCTGTGGGGGTTCCCAGAGACTGTTGCCCCGTCTGTGTTTGCAACCCTAGGTTTCCCTCGGTCTTGACTCACAAATGATAACAGCAGCCATGTATTGATGCTAATTGTGTGCCCAGAGCCATGCTGAGTGCCTCACGTATTCTCTGTTATTTATCCTACCAGCCACCCTGAGAGAAAGCTTGGATCACACCCATCTCGCAGGTGGCGAGACTGAGGCCCCAGAGAGGCTAAGTAACCCTTCCAAGGTCGCAAGAGTTATTAAATGTGGTGCTAGGATGAGACTGGGGCCCAGGTCCCTCTGATTCCAACATCTCAACCTGGGCTCCCATGTTCCCCGCCCTCCAGCTCCTGGTGCAGCCAGATGAAGGTCTTTGGGACAGTCAGAGCAAAGAGTGGGGCTCCTAAGGGGAGAAAACACTTCTCGGGGCCTCCAGGCTGAGGGCCCTGAAGTATGGGGGTGCAACAGCCTGGGAGGTCACTTGTGGGGGGAGCCCTAGGCGTATTCCCCAGCCACACAGGCCTCACTCGCACCCCCTGGGGTACAGGTGGTTAGCTAACAAGCACAGAGCCCCATCTTCTGTCCCCTCTGTCTCGGCCCCAGATTTGCACCCCCCGCACCCCACCGTCATCCTAAGCTGCTGCCAAGGGAGGGGGCTCCATCTGGGGTGGGAGGCCAGGCCAAGGCCTGGCCGGGGGCAGGAACAAGTATGGGAAAAGGAGCCATTGTGGCTGAGCCTCGGGGATTAAGAGCTACAAAGTGGCTGTGGAGGGCTGAGGCCATTGACAGGAGCCCCCGGGAGCGGAGTTCCCAGGGCGGGTAGTGTAGTCGGAGCAGCCTGTGCTGAGGCTGCCTGCTGGGCCTAATCCCCTGGGAGCGGGGGCGGCAGGAGGAACCCCAGAAACATAGCTGCAGTGGAGAGAGGGCTGTCCTTGCTGACGTCCTGCATGGTCCTGGAGGCTCACAGTGGTCTCTCTGAGGAAGAAGGACAGGTGATGGGCAGGTGTGGCCGTGGGGTGTGCGTATCCACGCGCGCCCCTCGCGCGGGGGGGTGTGTCTTCATGGGACCCTAAAGATAGATGACCCAGTGTGTGTCTGAAGTTTAGGGCATACCTTGAGGGGACTGGGGCCTGAGGGCAGCCAGTGGGCGACTCGAGGTCCCAGGCTGAGTGAGGCATGGAGAGGAAGGAGGCAGAGCCCTCACCAGCAGGCCCAAGTGGGTGCTAAGTGTGTGTGTGTGTGTGTGTGTGTGTGTGTGTGCGCGCGCACCATCAAGCGGGGTGCTTGAGAAAGGCCCTTCAGAGGCGGCTGGAGGGGCTCTGCAAATTGTAATCAGATTAAGGGGGCCAATCACTTAGGGCTCTTGAAAAGGCCACACGGT